CCATGAGCTCAGTGTTACTATGGGTTAGAAGGCTACATAAACAAATGCTGAACAGCTACCGTTCATCACAGCCCTTTGTCCTGGGAGAGGCAGTGAACCTGAATTCCCCAAGAAAAGCAAGGAGGCTGTGAGCGCCTGTGCTCTGATTAATCTCATCAGTTTGTTTTCCTGGAAACTAGGCATCCCAGATGCCATTTTTTCCATTATGAGTGTTCATCTGCTCTGTTTTGAGCTTGATTGCCCCTGTAGACCGCTTGGCTTCACTAGTTTCTTTTATTTTTTTAATTAACATTTATAACAAAACGCCAATTAATTGAGATTAGGGCATAGCTGCAACCCTCAAAACCAGGTCTGTTAAACATTTGAAAGCATGCATGGCATACAGAAATCCTGAGCAGTTGTACAAAGAGTGACTAAATTATTAATAGGTGTAGTGCATATGAGACAAGCATTTCAAATGGGGACTTTCTGCTTCAGAATAGCATTGCTATTTTTGTGTAACAGCAGAGACAGAAATATTTGGAAATTTGTCTCGTTGGTACTAATTACAACTGTTAATAAAACATTCCCACTGCAGGCACAATATAGGCATTTCTGATTTTTGAGCAGAATTAGCCATTTCATTCGTTATCTCTAGAATATATAATTTGTTAAATCACAAATGAAACATCAGCATACTGACACATTTATTTCTACTCTTAAAGGCCCTGTTAAGTAATGAAAAAACATTCAAGCACAGATTAAACTAGCATCATTTACAGATGACACCACATAATATTTGCCTTATAGGTTGAAGAGATTAGCTATGGGGTTGCCTGGGATTCCTTTTTTTAAAGGCATGAAGATATATGCATGGATTACAGCATTTAAATTTGCATTCTATAGAAAATAACATTCTGCTGTGGGCAAAAAAACAAATACTGGAAATTTCTTTCCTGTCTCAAGTGAATTATTTCTGGTGAAAGGCTTCTTAGCATTTTGCTCCAGGCATGCAGATTTACACACAGAGCATTATGCCTGTACACATGGCGAGTGCTCTACCAGGGTGCCCATCACGATGTCCTCCTCTGTGCCCAGTTCCCATGCAAAGCTATTCATTGCATGTACAGAAGAGACTGAAATTTAGAAATGGAAAAACAGCCAAAACAAACCCAACAACCACTGGAAAAGCTGGCACAGCAGAGCAAGTCGATAAGGAAAAAGCCTCTGTACGCCCTGGCTGCTTCCATGCTCAGAGAGCAGAAAGCAGTGGGGACGTATTGCTATTATTAGCCTGTGCGATGCAAAGCAGCTGGTTTGCAGCCTTGTTTCAGGCTACTGGCAAGATGTTGGCTCATTTTCTCCATGCAAACACGCAGGCACAGACAGACAGACAGACCCCATAACGCTCATGTCCAGAACCTCCCCACCACTATGGTGAGACAGACAGACAGAACACGAGGACCGCGTGTACTCACAGCTCGGAGTACAGGAGGTGCAGGTTGCCCACATTGTCTATGTAGTTTGCAGGACTTAACCAGGGGAGGACCAGCAGCAGGAGAGCCTTCATTCCCAGCGCTGATGGCACCACTGCCAGGTTTCCTCCTTCCCGCTTGCTCTGTGCGGGTGGGACACGCAACGCAAAGCTTCGTGCTGGCCAAGCCCCTTCTAAGCCAGCCTTCCCATTTCAACGCAACGGTAGCACATTACGAATTGAGCTTAAATCCCATAAACGAGGCTACACTGCAAAATCATTGACCTGTAAGAGGATTATTCGATCTGACTCTCAGACGGGGAGTTGTGAGGGTTTAGGGACAGCACAGCGTGCTTGGCGAGACAGTGACTTATGCTGCAGAGCAGAGCGATGCTCAGGGAAGAGACCTGCCTCCTGCACGATTCAGAGTGGTTCTTCGCAGGCAGCTGGTAGGTTTACATCACTGCCCAACAGCAGATGGGTTACGAGTGAGCTGCATCACGGAAGGGTGTAGCCATCTGACAAGGGGGGAACGTGCCCCCCGTGGAGTTGAGAAGCAGACGATAGCAGAAGACCACACCTTTTTAAAGTAAAACACTGCAAAGGATCACAGCCAACTGCTGCCTGTCTGCATCGCTGTCTGAATTCCCAAAATCCAGTTGGATGTCTCTGTGCAAACATAAATCATGTAGTAAATCAAGGACATCTCTCTTCTCTTTCTCTCTCTTTTTTTTTTTTTTTTTTTTTTTTTTGTTTGTTTTTTTCCAAGAGATGAAAGAGCAAACATTTTAAATAAGGTTGTTTTTAACTGTATACTCTGTGGTAACTGGTGTTTTAAAAAATTCAAGTTCTCTCTTCAATTATAAAGCATAAAACACAACAAACTCACCTTGTCCCACCACTGACCCCATCTCCGAGCAGGACAAGCACGGATTGGTCCGAGACCAATTCGTGCAAGAAATACAAGGGCTGACGACTGCCCTGGTGACTCTCATAGAGTCTGATTTATTCCCTGGGAGCACAGAGCATATTTAGTCAAGATTTTTTCCCCAGCATCTGAGCCATTCTGTTCACTTGCATGAGTATTATAATTATTATTGTTATCATTACTATTATTGTCATAATCAACAAAATCAGATACCTTTTCTACTGATTCATCAATGTTAAAGAGAACAGCATCTATTTTTCTGGGCATGCTGGAGCTGTGGCTGAAGAGCACAGTGCCCTTCTCTCCAGCACCACAAAGACTTGGGAGCGGGGTTGCAAGGGCAAGTTCTGCATCTCTGCAGAGTCATGAAATGCTTTTGGTGATTATTAACAAATGCTTTATGTGGAAAACAATAAATGTTCTGCATAAGCTCTGCAAACAATGTTTCAAAAGTCTCCTTTATGGGTCACACAGTTTCCTCTTAATTCTTCTCATGGGTGGGAAAGCCTGTGAGGGCACGCCCTGGGAAAGCTTCAATTGACTTACACTGTAAAAACCCATGGGTTTTAGAGAAACACCCAACAGCAAAGGTACTCTTTATCTTTTAAATACCTCTGCCCTCTGACCTTAAGGAAACTTAACTATCCTGTTAAGGAAACAAATCATACTGCAAATGGAAAATACAGCCATTAGTGGCAGCAAAGAAGCCACACAGCTTGCATAGCATGACCTTGTACTGCACTGGGATGTGCACTAGGATGTGGAAGACAGGGAGAGCACAGTTCTTCCTCTCCTGCTCCTCCATGGGCTTTCAAAGCTGAGACTTGGCTGGGAGAGCCTGGTGTGGGGGAGGAGCTGCAGAAAGGCTGCGGACAAGTGAGGAACTACAAAGACAAAGAGCACAATAATATAATTTGATAGAGGAAATTGTCAGCTACGAAACACTATTTCTCAACATAGTCACCACCATTAGCTGTGAATTTTCACCCACGACGAAATGAAGCCTGTGTATCACTCTGGTAAAAATCTGCACCAGTGGAGGTGATTTGTTGCTTCATAGCTGCTATGACAAGTACCATTGCTGAAACATACCACCCACCTACTCACAGTGCTCACGTGCACTGTTTGGTCTCTGTAACATTCAGCAAGTGTTGATGAATGTCCATGGGTGCAATTTTTCCCTCATGGAGGAATTCAGTGACACACATTTTCTCCATACGCATTTCCATACCAGATGCCACTTTCTCAGACTGCCCCTCTGCTGCCATCTTTCACATGGCAACGAAATCAACAGAGCATTGGTGGGAAGGTTCAGCTTCTATTGCCACACCGCCAGCATCTGCCTCTGACATAATAGGCCAACATAACAAAATAGGAGGCATTACTTTCAGAGCAGCTCTTGTATATAGCAAAAGGAAAGGCTATTTGCACTAGAGGCTGAAGATTTTATTGTTACAATCTGTAGAGCAACATAATCTCTATGACAGCAGCTCACAGCAGACTGCCAGTCCCTTTACCTGCATCACTGCTGAAATCTATATTTTTGGTATGTCAGAGAATTACTAACCGGAGGCAGAAAACAGCAGATAATCCTGCTAATTTCTCTCTCTAGCAGCAAAAGCTCACCTTGTGGAGCATGGCTGGCAGCACCCCTTGCACCATCAGCCAGTTCCACAATAAGTACCTTGAATAAATTCCTCTTAGGAATCCAAGTGCCTTAAGGAATGGGTTTGTATTTGAATGTCAGGTCACAGAGCCTCTGCCAGCTATGGGGTTCTCTAGCACACTGCTCCAGCTCTCTCCTCATGCATTCTGCGATACTGCTGGCACCAATGACCTGCAGTGCAGATCAGATTGGGAAAGAGATGCTCTGACCATCAGTACTACCATGCCCACCCAGGAGCATGCTGGCCAACAGAGGCCTTCTGCCTGCATTTGCAGAGGAAGAAATCTGAACACTCCTGGGCAGTAGTAGTGCTGAGGGCCACTCACCATCAGTTCCCCCCTGCAAAGGAACTAACTGCTCCCTGGGGATGTTTTCCCTGGGTGAGGTGATCCCAGCCACAGTGGCTATGACCAAGGCCATGGAGGCTGGGCTGCTCTCTGTGAGCCCCTGTGTGCCATCAAGGAACCAGTGTACACCTGGAAGGAAAGAGCCCTCAGCTCCAAAGGCCAGCACCAAACTGGGAACGTTTTCTGCTCTACTTCACATGTAGGTCATTTGCAATTCAAAAATGGATTGAAGAAAGGGCAATTACAAAAGCCATAGTATGACTGAAATATTTATGATAGTTCAGCTTCCCAAAACTCACAGATCTCTCTGGATGACTAAATACATGCTTCCATTATGCAGCTTACCACAAGGTACCTGCCCAGAACTGCTAATGATAGCATGAAGCACCTTAGGTAGATCTCATTCTAAAAAAGCCCATGAGACATCATCAAATACCAACTCAGTTCTAACCTCACGATAGCATAGGTGCTCCTGGGGACTGAAGTTGATAAACCATCCTTTATATTAACAGTCTATTTAAATCAGTGTTAATTGCTGATACTTCTCCATCTCCTTAAGGAAAAGGCAGCACAATGAAAAAACCCACCACCTCAAGAAAAACTTACTGGGTTTGGAAATGCTGTTCAAGGTGACCGCGTTGCACAACCTCTGAGCAGTGTTCTGTGAAAGGACAGCTAACCATTAGCTTGTCCAGGAGGTTATTCACCAGTATGCTGGACTTCCTGCAGTTCTGGAGAGCCACCAGCTTGCGGTCCATGGGGCAGAAATCTTTTTCCAAGAGGAAGTTTGTAAGGCAGGCAGCGCAGAAGGTGTGACCACAGAGCGTGTCTAACGGCTGAAGCAAAGGTTGCAGGCAAATGTGGCAGATCAGATCATCATCTACTTCCTCAGTGTAGCTGTACAAGTGGTTTTCCTCCGGTAAATGTGCCTGGCCACAGGTGACACAGAGTGGTGAGGAGTTCTCCTCCATTTTTGCTTTCTGGCTTGTAATTGGAATCAATACAATTCAAAAGAGGGCAGATGAAAGCACCCAACTTGGTTTCTATTTGAGAGAGCAGCAAGGCTTATGTGCCATCAGATCTGTGGGGAAGGAAGCAGAAAAATTATCATCTGTATTGCTTTCTCTGAATTTATGTATGGTGTGTACCTGGATATAAAGTACTCCAGCAGTTTTTAGGGAAGGATTGCAACTTTGTGATGGCAGGATAAAACAAAGAAAAATCAGATTGCGAACTCCAGCAACTTTTTTGCTCCTAAGTTTAGCTCAGCTGACACAATTATTCTCACTGTAAAGAAATATATCAAAATAGAGGGAATACTACAGAAATTTAACGGTCAAACACCTCAGGTTAGCATACAACTACATCTTGAGTCATCCGACATTTTTAACAGTGATCACATTACTTCTTTTGGAAAAGCAGCACCATGCATAGGCCAATCTTGCAGTACATGTGCAGAGACACAGGTAAGGAGAATGGTCACTGCCCGAGACACTGGTGCTGGAAGGAAAGGCAGCGAGTTGAGCCCACACCATGCGCACAGCTACAGGGAGGGCTGCCTGGAGTTCAAAGCCTGGGACCTCCAAATCATCCTCTGCCATAGCAGTGGTTCATCTGTCTGATTTTCAAAACCAGTGAACAAAAATGAAATCTATTCCCTTAATAATTAGTGTTATAATTCCAAATCAAGTTATAACTCTGACCAAAGCACCTGCCTGCTGGTATTTCAGGGATGTAAGCGCTGTGGGTGGCAGCAGAACTGAACAGTAATTTGTAGCTTTTACTTGATAAACCCTGACTGCTTGTTGGAGTATTTACGTCTCATTACATCTATGCTTATTTTGATCCATCTCTTTGAAAATAAACATGAAGATATAAAATATGCAATGGCCTAATTACTACTCCTGCTTGAAAATATAAATCTTATTTGCTGCTCTGCCATAGCACTGTGCTCCTTCTTCCAGCTTGACTTAATTTGCTGAGACAACTCGTCAGCTTCAGACACCCACGTTTGAGGGCAAATGAGGAGAAGAATATATAAAAGAAATCTGAGTATGACAGAGCACATTTTCATTTAAAATAAAAACAATCCCTATTTTTATGTAAAGCTCTTAGGCTCTAAACCTGAGAAATTAGGTTTCAACATGGCGGGCGTTTTCTGACATAAAGGTAAAATTATAGCCCTACTAACTCTATCCAGATGCTTGAATGTCAAACATTCACTTCAATGCTTTGTTGGATCCTATTCTTATGCAGCTATTATGCTAAGTGTATAATAACATTTTTTGCTTGCAAGACTAAGTTCTGCACACACTCTGCCTCCTGATTAGCAGTGAATTCACTTGGATTAAAATGATCCCCTATATGAATTTTTTAATAGAATATTTAAAATACTCTGTACAGCAGCAAATGTTCCCCTTTGTAAAAATATTTATCAGAGTTTTGTGTACGTGTCTTTGAGAAGAATTGTGCAGGAAAAAGAACTGCTGTCTTAAACTAGGAATTAAATCAGTATTAGTTGGCTCTATTGAAGTGAATACAGCAAAATGAACCAAGAAAAAGACAGAAGATATCATTCTAGCATACTGACAACCCTAATTAAGAAAGAAGACACTGAAATACTCTGGAAGTAGCAAAGCAGTCACAAAAAAAAAGAAAAAAAAATCCTGAAAAACTTGCAGCACATCCACACCAACAGGAATATGAATAAAAAGTAACAAATAAATCACAAGAACATCACGGTAGCTTGAACAATACAGCACTATTATTTTCATTCCAGTCTTGCTAGGGTCATTCAAAGATACTTTTCCCATAGAATGTAACTTGTACAAGTGCTGAATGGAGCACTTTATAGTGATAGTTCAAGGAATCTCTGAAAGCAGACACAAGCTGAGCACACCAGTCTTTGCATTGATCACACCCAGGTCCTGGGGGCCACATCCAGCTGCTGATGCTGAGCTGGGGCAGTTTGGGTCCCCCAAGTTACTGCTGTTAGACAGCTCTCAGCCAGCTTCTCCACAGAGCGGGGTGACTGCATGCTGGTCTGCATAGCTTTGATCTGCTAGCAGCTGCATTTTGCAGAATGAGAGTGGAGTGTTCACTGATGTCAGCATCCCTCACATGTGTAGAGGTTCAGAATGGTCTGAACAGATATAGAGTTAGACACACACTGTGTCTACTCCTAGCAATCCTGTAGTTCAAATGGCTGAGAAATTGGGCAGGGGTAAGCTGCCTAAGGAAAAGTAGGGGATCTGATCACTGCCACTTTATATCTAGTGATCTTGAGTGATGAGGACATCACTGAAATATTCAAGGTATTGAGGGCATGTAGCAAGCTGGAATAAATCTCATTAAGATAAAAGACACAATTTGAAATATATGTAAGCTACCTTATAACAGGCCTAGTGTGTTCACTCTGGAAAAGCAATGGCAAATGCATTGCTTCTGATCATCTCCCACTGGTAAAGCCACACCTCACTACAAGAAAGTTTTAGTTTTGAGCTCCTTACTACAAGAAAGATTGGATATGAGGAAAAAATTCTCAGAAAGAGTGGTGATGCATTGGAACAGGCTGCCCAGGGAGGTGGTGGAGTCACTGTCCAGGTGACAGTGGAGGTACTTAAGGAAAGGTAGACGTAGTACTTAGAGACACGGTTTAGTATTAGTATTGGTAGTAGGTAGATAGTTCGCAAAATGATCTTATTTCCTACCTTAACAATTCAATGATTAGAGGTTATCATGACTATCAAAGAAAAAGGTATAAGAATTCAGCTGCACAAGTTCTGCCCTGTACTATGTCCTAAAAGTTTTCGGACTCTTCTGGTCACATTACAGACACTCTTTATGGGCCCAGTATGCTAATAATGTGTTGCTAATAAGAAAGAGTGAGTGTGGGGAACTCTAGCTGAATTTACAGTCTACATAAATTACAAATACTTGCTGCAGTGCAGAGAATCAGAACCATCCATGCTAATTAATAACAGGCACTGAACGTTTAGGAGGACTCAAATCTTCTAGCCTGTATGATTTAGAAATCTTAGAGTAGACAATAACACAACTTATTTTCCAATCTTAAAAAAAAAAAAAAAAAAGATCTACCAGCCTTTTCTGGCTCATCTGGTCAGTGGTCCCCCACTATGAACCTTCTTAAATTACTGGACACAAGCAATGAAATAATCACTACAAGCCTTTGGAAGGTAGTTATACCACCAAAAGAGTTAGCAGAGAGGATGCTGAATTGAGTTGTGACACAGATTTGGCCAAAGGCAGAAGTTCTTTGCAGTATTTGCAGTCATTTTTATTGTAATAATTTATGCATTGTCATAACACAGCTATATAATTAATTTCACGTCCTTTTAGGAAGCTTTGAGCTTTGATGTTCAGCAGTTCTTCTTGGGCAGCATAAAAGAGAGGGAAAAGAGGATTTAAATTTGATCTGCTGATCTTGCATTAACATCAGTACCTAAGCACACTTTGATCAAGAAACTCTGTACTTGCAGATGGTGCATCACAGCAAAAGGAAAAAAGGCAATTATTACCTGGCTGAAAGTGTCCTCTTTGAGGCACATGCTTGGGAAGGAGGAGAAGGGAAGAGGGGAGAAATCCTGCTTCCATTTGCAGTTGGTGTCCACACCTTTGCCATCAGCAAGGCAAGGGCATCATCTCAACTCAGAGAGAGTTGTTTGTGCTGGGGCTGCACAGGTGGTCCATGTCCCCATGATAAGCAAGCTAGAGCTTGAACGAGAGCACCTCCAGCACCTGGCTGGCCACCTTGTCAAACATTAACTGGGAGCTGGAGGGGCTGCAGGGGAGCAGCATGTGAACAGAATGAGCAGCCAGAGCTGAAAGAGAAAAAACTGGGTGGTGAAAGGCTGCAGGAAAGTAGATAGCAGTGGGAGTAATCAACAGGCACCTGAAGACCAAAGAAAAAACTAAGGCAGAGCCTGGAAGGACAGCAACCAGCTCACATCTGCAATGGTGAAAGGCAAAGGTGAAAAGCATGGTCAATGCAAAGCAGAAGAAAGCTGTACAACAGGTAGAGGAGTTTACCTGCAACAAGATGGCTTGGGAATAGCAAAATCCTCTGACTCATGGGAATGAGTGGCTGATATGGGAATGGAAAATGGCTTCTGAATGGTATAGTGTGTACATAAATAACATTTTATTAATATTCCTGCTCTATTGCACTCCGTGCACATGCATCACAAGTACTCTATCCACTGCTCAAAAGAAGCTGCCTTCTTGTGCCCTGTCTCCCCATCACACAGCACTATGGGAGGCAGAGGTACTGCCAGCAGCTATCCTGCCCTGGTTATCTGGACTACAATTACAACACTGTGTCACTGTCCTTCCCCAGAACAAGGTGTTGCCTGCTACAGGCAGGGTGCATTCTGGCCATGGGGATGTTCTATACACCTAAAGGGATACCGTTCCACAACATTACTCTGATAGAGATGCTCTTCCCTTGCATTCCTCTGCCATACTAGCTGTGAACATGCCACAAATAACAAAGGAAAGTTCCTCCTTTTCTTAATCTTCAGCCTGTTCTGCTGAGAGCCAGGAGATGGACTTGTTGCTTCCCAGTGTTGCAGAGGAACCGAATGAAATTACTGGGAGACTTTGCACCTTAGCCTGCATAGATTTAACTCCTTCATGACTCCTCAGCCCAACAGTTGAGTGTGGGCAGGATGGGAGCTGTGGGCATTGTCCCCATCTAGTGGTTCACCCATACCAGGATGTCAGCTGGGAGGGAGCTGAAAGATCCCTTCACTCCAGCAGAAGCTCAGAGCACCCAGGCTGACAGGGGTTGGCTCAGTACAGCCCAGAACTAGCTGCCCCAGCGAGAATCCAGGTTGCAAAATCATTCAATATTTGGAGTTCTACAATGAGGCCTCAGATTTGAATGTTCATATAAAACTCTTTGCCTTCAATTAGGGAAATTGTAATGCTGGTTTAATTCATTATCTTTCAGCAAAATATCCTTACTAGCAGGCCTCCTAGTCACTGTATTTTGTGCTGCTAATTGCATCTACTTTACTGAAGCTCTTTATGGGCTACAATGACTTTCCTGTTAAAGGTAGTACTTATGGTAGAGGCTATTGGGCAGCCTTTTGTCTCAAAATACTAGATAATGGTTTTGGAGGACATCACACAGTGACCCATACTGCAGTAACACACATTGTATAGCATCATCCATGCAAAGACACAACAATTCGCAGTCCAAAGATCTGGATAAAGAATATTGCATAATAATTGGCACTAACCTTGGGTCAGTTTGATAAATCAGCTTTCCTGGATTTTAGACCTTGTCATAGGAAGGCTATAAACCATTTAGGCACATAAAAAGCTTATCTTAATGTCTTAGGACCAGCTTTTGTCCCACATGTAATTGTCTCTCTCTCTCTTTTTTTTTTTTTCTTCCAATTCCTTATTTTAAAATCTGTTATACCAATAGCAGCGTCACAGCATTTTCCCTTAGCTTGACTTGTAATCAGTAGCAGACAATCTCTAGTGGAGATCTGCAGCGGTCAGAGAAGAGATGCAAACCTCCAGGTAAAACATCAGTAGCTAGAGATGAGTCAGAGATACTGGAAATATTGATTTAGCGGATAAGAATTTAGGATTCTAAGCAAGACTGCTAGAGAACTGTTATAGAATTCTATTATTCTATTAGCAGAGTTGGCTCTTAGAGGAAAATAATTAAAAGTTCAGCATATCAGCACAGACTGTCTCTAGGACAACAAACAGGAGATACAAAACCTCTCTTTTGCCTGGCCCCAGCTCTCTGACTGTTGATTTTTCAAAGTTACTATTAGTCAGAAATTCCTTCTCAGAGCTTATAACAATCAAAGCGCTTTGCAGCCTTTAGTGATGAAAAACGTTTCCACTGAATACAAAAATCCGACAGTACAGTGCAGAAGGTGAATAACCCCAACTTTTCAAGTTGTGACTCAAGCTGTGAAACCTAACAGAAATGTCATACTGTGATGCACGCACAATAACTTTAAAAACTAGAACCAGATTGTTTGAAAAGACTCTGTGGCTCATGCTGGAATTTACAGAATCAACCAGCGTTGGAAAAAAGTTTTTTTTTCTGTTGTGAAATTATTTATCTGAAACTTCTGTTTGGAATGTATGGAAATACGTCCTGCCTTTTCATCTGTCTGTCTCTCGCACACCCACACAAACATTAATTGCTCTCTCTGACGATTTCATGGCTACAAAACTTTACTCAGCATGTTGAAATGAGAAATTCCAGCCCAGAAGTAGTTTAAGGATATTAAGAACAGCTGGATGAGATTTGACCAAAAAGAGCATTTGAATAAGGCAGTACATGTTGACAGGCTAACCTTCCCACACTTATAAGAAGCACATCCTATGAGTGAGCTTACCTTAGCAGAAGGTAATATGAAAGAGAAGACTTGTTGCTAGCATGCCTCAAGCACTCAAGCACCGTGCTGGTGGAGGTAATAATTCCAGCTTCTTGCTTTTTCTGAAGCTTGATATACTCAGGCTTGGACCAACCCTTTATAGCAGAACCACGGGCTCAGACTCCACACACAAAGGAGAGAGCTGCAGCAAGACAGACAGGCAGTGGGTAACTGCTTCTCCAGCACACACGTTCTACCTCCTCAGAGGAAGTCAATCATCTGGCCAAAGCAAGACAGTGCGAGCAATTATGATTGACTCTTAAATGCTTCCTAAACATGTGCTCATCCTAATTGACATAATAAATGCCATTGGCATTTCACATGCCAAATTATAAAATTGTATGGCTAGTTATGTAACAAAAGGTGCATTACCTCTCTGATTTGGCTGATTGCTCCAGCTGACTTCAACAAGACAGACAGCCTCAGAGGCCTGCTGTTAGACATTTGACCTCATGACAAAAGTGCATTTTGTGGCTAAACAACCACATACCCCAGCTGTCTTTGAAGGTGCTTGTAGCAAGCAGTTGGTACAAGGATCCCTGTAAACTGCAGGAAAGTGCTTGTTCCTGGTCCCTGTTCCAGATGCATCTGCTGTTGGAGACAGAGATGCAGTGGGGACATGCACCTGTCCATGTTCCTCTTTTGCATCAGGTTGAGGAAACATGGATCCACAAACCATTCTGGAGCTATGGGGGGCTCTAGCCTGGAGCCCCCCAATCCAGACAGTGGAGTCCCTGGCATACATGCACCTATGCAGGTACATCATAACAGGGAGACAAAAAGTCTTGCAAATGCAGAGTAGAGTGCAAAATGTGTTTTGTTTCACATTTCTTTTGTATTTCTGTACCTTCTTCATGAATTTGGTGTTTAGGCCATGGTGCCAATTGATATTAACTCCATGGGGAGTTACACTACTACTCTGTTTCCCATACACATCAAATTATCACCATTGCCACAAGGCTCGCTAAGTGTCTGGGTAGCAAAGAGAAAAATAGCATGTCCCAACAAAATGCAAAGCTACATAATGAACCTAAATCACACTGGATAACAGAGAAAACAAAAAGGACAAGGGAATTATACATACTCAGACCTCATGGAAAAACAATGCTAGATTTACATCACATTAGAAAAGCCATGGGGGAATATTGGTTACTAATTCTTCCACCTACAGAACCTTTGATATGTAATCTAAAAACCTTGTTCTCTCTCCCTTCCTCTCTTTGACCTTCCATGCCTTACTGTGCAGGGTAACCCTGACACAGTGAAGGCCCATACCTACAGTAGGGGTACCTTCCTAAGCAAAAAGATTTCCTCCTAGGCATGCCTCTTCTTTTCTGGCTAACCAGCTAACACACTTTTTGGTATGTCCCCAACTCCAAATGCTCCTATCCATTCTGAAAAGAAGATGATGTTGTTCCTGCATCATGCTCTCTTCAGCCATTCTCCAGGTTGCCTAGCTTAAAGAACATGGCAAACCTCTCAGTGACCCAGGCATGTTGGATAAAGACGACCCTCAGGATGACTACAAGCTGCTACCACTGTGTAGGAGGCTGAAAGATAAGGGGCATAGAATCATAGAATAGCTTAGTTTGGAAAGGTCCTCAAAGATCACCCAGCCCCCTGCTATGGACAAAGCTGCCACCCATCAGATCAGGCTGCCCAGGGCTCCATCCAGCCTCCAGGGATGGGGCATCCTCAGCTTCTCTGGGCAGCCTGTGCCAGTGCATTCTACGCTGTGAGTTAAAAAAAAAAAAAATTACCTAACATCTAGTCTAAATTTCTCCTCTTAATTTAAAGCCATTTTGAGAAAACTTACTTGTTCTGATTAAACTGTTTTGCTTCCCACACCCTGAAAATGATGGGTCTTTAGAAATCAGGTAAGATTTATACTTGAATTCTCAATCTGCAGGACCAAAAGCAGGTATGAAAAATATAAAGTCAAACATGGCACCCCATAAAAGGCTTTGAAGTAGCTTTTATCTCTTTCATGGCACCAAATCTATTGCATTTTTGTAGTGATATTCATGTTGGTAACAATGAAGAATGATTTGCCAGACTCACTCATGGCTTTATGATCTTAGAAAAACTCAGCCAAAACTCAATGAGAGCTAGAGAATCAGCACAGGGGGACATCTGCCTACACTGATGCTATCTCACTGGAAGCACTCATTAGGGAAGATTCTGAGTGGAAGGAACACGTTTATGCATACCAGAGAGGGTGACTCCTTCAAAAGCCAATGTGGATTAGCCCTATCTCCAAACCATCCAGCAAGTATTCCTGGGAGGACTTCCCCCAGCCCTTCCTCCCACATAGCCACAGCACCCTCAGACTAAGCAGCATCTCCTCACATGTGACCATGAAATAATATTTAATAGCAATAAAGTGCTGAACAGATGATGGATAACCCTGCTATTAGCACTGCTTTAATTACACTGTGCCTTTAGAGCTGCTCCTCTTATCCAGAAGTCTCTTAATGCTTTACAAACTACTTAATGAGTTCTCACAACTCCCTGTGGGAACCTTTTTTAGGATTAGCCCAGAGCATGGCTCGGTGAGCAGTGCATGGGCAGGTGGCTGCTCCCACATTGCAGGGCTATGTCCTCGTGGGGCTGATGCCCAATTTCTCTTGTCACAAGGAGGGCCACAGGGGTGGTCTTAGATATGATTTGAGGGAAAAACCCTCAAGTTTGTCAGTGGGCTGCATCCTTTACTTTGTGAATTTGCACCTGGAAGAATTTAATCTTCTATGTCTTAATTCTGCTTACATTGCATTTAACTATGTCTATGTTTATAATTTAAGTTACAAGTTTGTAAATCTCTATAACTTTAATTATGTATCTTCCTGTATTTTTTTAAAAATCTTTTCACAGACACACAAAAAAAACTAAAAAAAATTTAACTAGAAAATTTGTTCCCATTAAAAAAACTGTACAAATCAATGGCACTCTGTCCTTTGTAGTAACTTAATCCAGAAGCACCCTGCCATCCACTCCTGGCATGGCCATTCCAGGGCCCAGTCACATGCAGGGACTTGCAAAAGGGAGGGCACAACATCAGGCAGGTTGGTTAGCAAGCGTATTTCAGCAACTTCAGAGTAACACAACCCACAGAAAGCCTCCTAAATAATGGGCAGGCATGCAATATGCGTCTGGAAAGAGAAATTTCAGGGACTGAGGGGAAGAAGTTCAGACGAGCTTGTGAGCTCTTGCAATGCTGAATTTCACATTTAAAAATAATTCACTGCTCGAAAGGGGGAAAAACCTATTGCACAGTGATTAGGCTGAACCCAAAGCCCAGTGACAGTGGTCTGTTTTTCAGTCTCAACACTGTTTGCTTTTTGGGTCTTTAACAAATAGCATATTATCTTTCAGTCAGTTATCTCTCATATGAAATAGTGCTGACAATTCCAATAAATATCTGACGATACAGCCTGCTCCTCCTCTGGGAGCAAGCTGTGCACTACAGCCTATAGCTGACTCCCGCATGGGAAGGAATGGGGAAACAAGAAGTACTCAAGCAGCAGGAGCAGCTCTGTTCAGCTCTCATGAGTCACGATAGTTACTAAGATCTCTGTTCAACAAAAGTATCAGTGAATAAAGTTTGTTTATGACAACGACTGGGCTCTTAGCTTCCATCACATCCTCCAGAGCCTACTTCTGTTTCATCTGCTCAGTGCTGGGAAGAAGCAACTCTGCATATGGTACTACTCATAGGTTTCGAGTCATCAGTGCTTTAATTGGAGCTTTGTGGAAACTCTGACCTAAGATCTACACTAATTAACACACGTGCCGCTGATAGTCTTATAACATTCTCCTTGAAATGAAGAGGCTCACAAAGGTTTTATCAGTGAGGACACGAGAGCAGCACTAGCTGGAGAAGATTGCTAATTCTGCAGCTGAATTATCATCTGCATCCAGAACCAGTTTGATGGGTGTGAGATTATTTGTGCACTTACTCCTGTGATGAGAAACCCATTAGGAATTACATGCTCAAGTTGTCCTGCTTCCTGCCAGTGCACACCACATGTTCATATGTGATCTGCTGCATGCACACAGGAATTTTGTCCGATTTGAACTTCTTCCTACAAGTTGTAGCTTGTAAGAGTGTTTCCACACTTTTTTACCTGGACCAAGACTACAGTGTTTTCTAAACAGCAGTAATACAATCAGCTTACTCCTTGGGCTGAAACTATGGAAAAACAAAACAAAACCCCAAAGCTATGCTACAAGTTGCTTTCCAACAGGAAGCTCTACTTGCAAAATCCTGTGTGAACTGGTGCAGTTAAATATATAGCACAAAGAACTGCAAGCAGAAACAATCTCTGAATAGGAACAGCAAACAAAACAACAGCATCACCCATATTTTTGTTTAACATCGGAGTATCTGAGATCATGTATTTGTAGGAAGGGAAAGTGAACTAGAATTATATCCAATAACAGACCAAAATTAACCTACATTCTGAAAAACGCACAGAGAAGTAGCTGTCACCTCTCAGTAAGGAGTTGCTGGCGCATGTAAACTATCATTTTATTAATGCGTTTTTGTTTTAAGAAGAATGGTAAAGGTATATTAAAGTAAACCTGAAGGATGAAGGAGAGTGCTGCCGGGGCTGTTGAACAGGTAGGAAGTCTCACAGCATTTAGCTCATCGATTTCCTTGTCAAGCAGTAATTGATGTTTATCGAGAGGAGCGGCAGCAGCATGCAGTGAGAGGCAGTTGCACCTGACCTAAGCTGCCTATGAACCATTCCCTGGACATTTAACGAAGGAGAAGTGTTCCAAGTTAAGTTCCCTCAAATCATAGGATTTATGCAATGACCTTTCCTAAACACACAGCTTGAGCCTTTGGGGAAAGCCTGCGGAAAGTCAGTCATTGCACCTCCCGGTTTCTAGGAGCAAAAATACCAGTGGAAGAGTTGGCTTTACATCTCAAGCAAGTACAAAACCAGCAATATTACATGACACAACTCTGTCCATTTTAACTAGAGGTGGAATACATTAAACCCTCTCACAAGCTTTGGCTACAGAGACAGCCCCCCCAGAATAAGCTACAGCCTCTGCCTGCCCCAGGCCAGGCTACAGAGCTGAGGGCTCCAGAAACACCTGGCTGCATCCCTTTGGCAGCCAGACTGGAGGAGACTG